AATTCAAATATTTTCCTACCAGATTATTTGTTCACTGAAATAGTTTTTATATGATTCTACTTGTTCTACTGTCTTTTGCTATTACTCTTGCTGTATGGCTTGTTCTCTTTTCTTTCTTACAACATCCTTTACCAGAAGTGGTCACATTTGTGTCGTTGTCGCTTTTAGTTGTCCTTTGGATCGTGGTTTTTCGTTCAAACCAGAATGTCAGCTCTTTTATCCTAATCTTTTATCTTTTGTATTTGTTTTCCCCTCGTGTATAATCATGCCTGTACTATATACGCTAGCTCTCCAGTTCCACGGTACCACAGGGCTATATAAAGTTGGGGAGAATGTAATCATAATAATTTCATGGAACCATTGTTCTACGGAGTTTGTTGACATGATGTCATACAATGTGGTGGAAGATACTGCATATCCTTCCGTGGCTTGAACAGCTACAAAAAGTCTTTTAGATAGCATATGCTGGTGCCCTCCCCCTCCCCCACCAACACCTTGCATTATTTTATCGAGCAGAACCTCCGCTCGAGGTCCCAATCAGGTAAAAAGTGAGCAATGTTGTTCAATCCGACTCAAACGACCGTATATCAGCAGGCCCAGTGGACGTTGTGCGCGGCTTGGCTATGAAATCCAATGATAGTGCCCCATCAGAAGCCAAGTTTGCACTGGTTAATTGTGATGGGCGGGCTTGAAAATCAAGTCATTGTCATACCTAGTATACATGATATTACTGCTTTTATTATCATCCATCTGGTTTTTGCTAAAGACATGAAAGTGAAGGTCTAATATCACAGTTTTATATTACTGCTGTCTGGTTAAGAAAATCTTCCCACTTTCTACCAAGCGGATCGAGAAGATTCAATTGAAGCTCCCCTGATTCCAGAGACTTATTTTCTGTTGACTGACTAGGGGCCAAGGGTCAGGGATTCGTGGGTCAGGATCCAAGCATTGAGTGGCAAGGACTGGCCGTGAGTTATTGGAGTTTATTCTGGACATCCACTATTAGATCCCCGATGAGATTTCACGCATCCAAATTATATCTGCAGCCTGTTTCAGATGGAAATATCTTCTCATCTTGCAGACAGAGCGACCATGAATAGGCTCACAGAGTGTGATATATCTCAAACAATAATATGCAGAGGAACCAGTCACTCTGCACACGCACCACAGATCCATGGCATTTGCACGGATTCCATTTCTTCCTGCTCACTTACCCTCACCTAGCTCAAATCTAGGCGCAGAAAGCATAAGCGCCGAGGCATGGCGTCCGGCCTGATATCCATCGGGTGGTAATTCACTGGCCAGTCGTCGTCCACGATAACTACCCCGCATGTATTCCCTCGGCTGGCTGCGCTCAGATCATATAAGGCCCCCCGAAGCGGGACACGCAGAGCATAGAAGTATTCCACCCATAGTCTGATCTCGGGGAGCTCGACGGAGGGCGGCTCCACAACGGGGATAGTCACTTGGCCCTCCCTGGTTATATCAACCCTGACGGGCGTCAGTCGTGTTGGTGTGTTCGTCCAAAGGAATCCGTCATTCATCATGCTTTTTGCCACGATCACAACGGCGCTCATACTGCAGACCGTTTCTGCAGCATCTACCCAGACCGTTATCAGGTCTGAGCCGTCTGTAGCAGTCCACACAGCCCGACACTGCAAATACATCACCGGGGATGTGGGATGGCCGCAGCCGCAGCTGTGGTCCCAGCTCAACCAGACGGTGGAAGGTCGTTTGATCGCGACGGTACCGGTGGGATCGGTGTGTCACGACCCAACCTACGACAAAGCCAAATGCCTCGCGGTAACCGCGAATTGGGCTCGGCCTCAGCTCAGGTACGCGCTGACCACAATGCGCTAGAGGGTCACCCCACTAATATCCGTTTCAGTGTCCCTCGACCCGCGGAGTTTATGCTCCCCTACTTCCTGAGCGATGGCTGCACCCCGTTTACCCCACGAACGACACGATGCGAGTTGGGCAACTATGCTACCTACTCGATTGAGGTCCGGTCGATTGATGACGTTCGGGCCGGGATTCGCTTTGCTCGAACGCACAACATCCGTCTGGTGATCAACAACTCCGGACACGAGTGAGTCCTTCAGTCTGAAGAGCAGGTGGTACGCTGATTAAACGTCGTAGCTTCTACGGCCAGAGCACCGGAAAGGGGGCGTTGTCTCTGTGGATGCATCACTACAACGAGACTACCTTCATCCGCCACTATTCTTCCGCATACTATTCCGGGCCTGCGCTGCGCGTACAGACGGGCGCGGAAGGTGGAGCCGCAGGGGCGCACGCGTCAAGGGAGGGCTACACCGTGGTGGCTGGGGCATGCCCGACGGTCAAGATGGTACTATTCCTTATCATGCCCCCTCCCACTAAACTATAACGCTTACATAAATAGGCCGGTGGGTATCTCGGTGGCGGCGGCCACAGTTATCTTGCGGGACGGTACGGCTTCGCGGCCGACCAGGTGCTGGAGTGGGAGCTGGTGACGGCGGACGGGGCGCACGTCGTAGCCACCCCGACGCAGGAGCCCGATCTTTACTGGGCGCTGTCCGGCGGCAGTCCAGGGTCATATGGGGTGGTGCTCTCGGCCACGGTGCGGGCGTTCCCCAACGAGATCACTGCCAACGCGGCGTTCTCGTTCGGGGTGCGCGAAGCCGGGGGCGTCGAGCCCTACTGGAAGGCCGTGCATACCTTCCACCACCAACTGAAACCCCTTCTGGACCACGGCATCGTGGCCGAATACGTGTTTGGGAACGAGACGCTGGCTGTGACGGGAGTGCTAGCGCCGGGCCACACCCGCGCGTCGCTGCTATCGTCCTTGCAGCCTTTGATGGTGGCACTCGCGGAGTCATCGGGGGGGCGGTTGACAGCTCGATCGCTGAAAATGCGTATAACCCAGGCGCAGAGCTATCACGATCTCTTTGCGGCAGAGATCGCGCCGCTTTTGGCCGAGTTGGGTTTCCCTCCGGCCGTTGCCGGACGGTTCGTCCCGCGCCAACTGATGGACGGAGACACAACAACGCTCGACAGCACGCTCCGAGAGATAGCAGACCGGGGGTATTCCTACTCGGTGATCGCGCTCAACGTCATCAACGCTCTGCGCAACGACACCGCGCCACCGATTGCCCCCAACGCGGTCCAGCCCACCTTCCACGCGGCGTACAGCTCACTGATGATCAACGCGGGGGAGTCTGGAAACCGAGACGTACAGCAGGAGTTGGTGGAGGAGATCCTTCCACTGTATGATGCTGTGGCACCTGGGGCGGGGTCTTACAAGAACGAGGGGCATTGGGCGGAGCGGGACGTGAAAATGACGTTCTACGGGGGAATGTACGAACGGCTTGAGGGGATTAAGAACGTAGTAGACCCAAATGGAGTGTTCTACGGCGCTACGTCGGTGGGGTTCGATCGGTTTGAGTGGGATGAGAGGGGTCGTCTATGCCGGGTGATATAGAGTGTGAACATGCTCAATATGTATGATGGGTTCTCGAAATTAACATCGAGCTCCCTATATGGTCCTAGTTATTCAATAGTGTTTGATCTGCATTTTCTAGCTGGCTCGTTTGTTGGTTCTCCATTCTGAAGATCTGAAAATATCTGTTGCTTTCATGTTTTGTCCGTTAGACCGATTCTATCCTCCTAACCTTTTCAACCACTTCTGACACCGGTTTGTTGTAGGAGTAATAGACCTCCAAATTATCGCCGCTACGCCAGAACTTTGGCCAACTCTTGATATAGGGCTGAGCCTGACTGTGGTACTCAACAATCTTTTACTTCTGAGTTGAGAAGAAAGTCATCCTAGGAAACATTGACTGTCCGCCTTGCCAGACAACAGACCGTTAAGCCTCTGACTCACACATCAAACGGCAGTCGATCCCCCGTGTTTAGATTTCATCCCCGGAATATAGCGCTTCAGCAGCTCCCGCGGTAGCTTGGCGATCTGTGTCCTGTCCTGCATTGACGCCGCAAATTCTGGTATGCTAGGAAACCAGGCCCACGTGGTACCGTTCGTCATGGAGTAGACCGTTAAGCGACACGCGTCCGCGACCGCGCCGTGGTGATAAAATCTAGTGCGCGCGTTCTAACATGCGACTTATTATCCAGTAAGACAACAAGACCGCGTTTGAACATGATGCCTGTCATGCAAAAACTCTTAACACAGCGGGATATGTCCGCAGTGCACAGGACGCTCTTAACAGCCATGACAAGCGTGCTAACCCCCAGGTGGAGCATGATGTCTGTGATAAGGTGATCTTCAATCTAGCATTATTCCTTGATACTCTAGAAGTTCCACTGTCAGGGTGTGTATACACTTTGAGTATTCTCCGGTATGCTGAGAAAGTCTCTACGCACGTGGGCCGGGAACTAGTATGTCTAGGCCGATTATAATTTTGGCTCGTGCCAGCAAGCTCGACTGTGGTTCCAGGGACACCAAGGGGGGGTTCGTACAGCATCTAGGAAGTATCGGGACTCGGGGCGTGTCGATTGACAGTGCCCAGGCTCATCGTGGATCCCGCAGCCTAGAGACTACCGGCCGCCTGGAGAGAGGTTTTCACAGTGTCCTTGTCCCGGAGTAACATGAACACTTACGGGGCCACATTGGCGAATTTGTCGTTGCCGGCGTCGAAGATCTGTCGTACCGGGCCTTGTCGAGCCGCCTGGGGGCCAAGGAACGTGCCCCACGGGACGGCGGCGGGGCGGGATCCACCACGAGACCTCGCGCCTGTAGTACATACGAGGAGTGATACGCGTTGGTGACCTTGAATTTACCGGCGAGCAGCCCGTCTGGCGAGGGCAAGTTAAATCATGACACGTCCCACCAGTACACGTTGTGTAACAGGATGACATCAACCAAGGAAGATATCCGTCTGTGGAAGTCTTGCACAGTGCAGGATAGGGACGTCGGGCAGACCGACATCCCAATCCAGTCAGCGGCAACGCTCTCCGTGGGACATTTGTGGGCATCGACCAATCTACCCTACAAATATACCCCGCACTCCCCACCATCCCATGAGTCGAATAGTTGAATTAATCGCCGTAAGAATAGGTAGTGACATTTGTTTACACTCACATCGCCAATATGAGAGCCGCTCGAGTACGCGCAACCTCCCCCGATGGCACGCCATATGGCGTCCCACATCACCCCGCCCCTTCGTCGGCGATTGAGGTTCATGATGACATCCCGAAACCCCAGGTGTCCCAGCCCGACGAGTTACTCATCCAGGTCAAAGCCTCAACTGTGATCCGCGACAACCTCGAATGGAACGAGCTGTACCCCCCCAACCATGCCCTCTTAGGCAACGATTTTGCCGGCATCATCGTCGACAGGCACCAAAGTGTGGACGAATACAATGTCGGAGATCATGTCTATGGAATGTCACACGGTAATCGGGGCGGAATGTGGGCCGAGTATGCCGTTGTCACGACCGAAGAGGCGGTCCACAAACCGGACCATCTGTCCTGGGAGGAGGCGGCCGCACTGCCGCTTAGCGCCATGACGGCGGATCAGGCCCTGTTCGTGCATGGGGGACTAGAACTCGCACGGTCGCACCCCAAAAGCATTCTGATTACCGGGGCCAGCGGGGGCGTGGGCGTGTATCTCGTGCAGTTCGCTGTCGCCGCTGGCCATCATGTCGTGGCGGCGACCAGCTCCCGCCAGCGCAATGAAGCCCTCCTCCGCTCGATCGGTGCCCACGAGGTGGTCGAGTACACCGATTTTAGCACGTTACATCCGTTTGACCTGATCGTCGATGTCGTCGGATCCCAGGTGCTTCGCGACTGTTGGGGCGTGATCAAGCCTGACGGCACCCTCATCTCTGTCGATTCCACCAGTTGGGGGTTTGTCGACGAACACCGTCGCAGCGACATCAGCGTGGGCAAGGAGGGAGTGCGGGCCCTCTTTTTTATTGTGGAACCGTCGAGGCAGAGTATGGAGCGCATCTCGCGACATGTTCTGAGCGGGAAGATCAAGGGGTTGGTGTCAAAAACCGTGTCGCTGGACGACGTGCGAGCGGCGTATGAATCGGCACATTCCAGGGGTATCGGACAAGGCAAGATTGTGATTACTCCTTGATCTCTTGCTTCTATATTGATGGCCTAGCCTACGTTGTTCTGCATAGCTGAAAACGCTCTGCAGGTGGTTGACAGTGTTCATTCCATATTCTTGGCCTGGCTCAGGGCGGATTAGCGCTATATCACCTTCACTAGTAGTTCTCATACCGTCTCCTTACCATCATTGTCAACTCGATAGCATTTTGTTTCTCAATGTACAATCATATCTTCACTCAGTCCATGGCGGCCATGTCTATCTGTCTACTCCATACTTGCACAGCGGTCCTCCTGGCGTTCATCCTTGTTCCACAGACAGACTAAATAGCACTTTCCTCCTGGGTGGGATATAACGTATAGTCCAGCAAAGATGAAAGAAGTATTCATACAGCAACAGGCTCTGTCTCGGTGTTTTCGTATTATGGGCGGAGATCTGCACCGGTGGAAGACCCGATTTGATCCAGCGGAGGGGGCCCAACTCGCCGGATTCGGCACCCCGCCGTATGGTACCAGGGTTGTTGATGACGTACCCGGCCATTTCTGAGCTGGAGCCCCCTCATATTACTCTTGACGTATCTGCAGCCCGGTTACTAAATGCGTTGGTCGGGCGGGACTGACAATCGTCGACCAACATACGAGCCCTACAGCCTGTTTCAACTCCTCGTCAAACACACTCCCGAAACCCTCCTGACCACACACAGTCCGACCAAATGGCGACACAAAAAGCTGTCGTCATTGTTGAACCGAAGAAGGCGGGCTTGGTGTCCGACCGGCCCCTTCCCACGCTGCGGGACGACTATATCCTTGTCAAAACCGAAGCGGTGGCCTTGAACCCGACTGATTGGAAGCATATCGCCTTTCTCGCAGCGCCCGGCTGTCTGGTCGGGTGCGACTATGCTGGGGTGGTCCAGGAAGTGGGAAATGCTGTCCAGAAACCCTTCCAGAGAGGTGATCGCATCGCGGGCGTCGCGCACGGCGGGAACGTCGTGCAGCACGAGGACGGCGCATTCGCCGAGTACATTGTCGTCAAGGGGGATGTCCAGATGCGTATCCCTGATACCCTCAGCTTCCAGGAAGCTGCCGCGCTTGGCGTCGGCATTGCGACCGTGGGGCAGGGACTTTATCAGAGTCTGAAGCTCGCTCTTCCGACAGCGCCCCGGGAGACCCCCGAGCCTCTCCTCATCTACGGCGGCTCGTCCGCGACCGGCACGCTCGCCATCCAGTTCGCCAAATTGTCCGGCTACCGGGTACTGACCACCTGCTCGCCGCACAACTTTAGTCTCGTCCAGGGTCTAGGGGCCGATGCGGTCTACGACTACCACGATCCTACCTCGGCGGCGGCGATCCGGGCCGCCACGGGGGACCGGCTTCAACTGGTCTTTGATACCATCGCGATTGAAGACAGCTCGAAGTACTGCGATACGGCGATTTCGACCCAGGGCGGCGAGTACAGCGCGCTACTGCCCGTATCTATTGAGCGGGAGAACGTGAACAGCCGCTGGACGGTGGGATACACGATCATGGGGGAAGACTTCATGTTTGGCCCCGACTTCTGGGCGGCGCGGCCGGAGGACAAGGCGTTCGCTGAGAAATTCTGGATGATTGCGGAGCCCCTGCTGGCGGCTGGGATCATCAGGCCTCATCCCATCGAGGTGAAATCTGGGGGCCTCCAGGGTGTTCTGAATGGGCTTCAATTGCTGCAGGCAGACAAGGTCAGCGGGAAGAAGCTGGTGTACAATGTTTCGGAAACTCCGTAGATATGCCCCGGAAATCCCAATTGCTCATATCTCTCCAGGTCTAATGACCCAGTCGCTTATGATCCTATTGCCTTGTTAACGGTAAACCTTTCCGTGCTCACAGACACCCAAATCGAGGTCCGAGGATGGCTGTCCATCTAGGCCCTCATGGCCGGAGTCAGGGGTAGTATAGCTACGCCCCTAATGAGACCCGACCATCTCGCCAATTCAGACGTGGTGAGCAAGTTCGAGCTTCTTGGATCCCTCACCACGTGGTTTGGGATGCCGCATGTTTTGGGATTGCGATGCCCCCTACCCCAGATTGACAGCTGTCTTTCACCATATCGTGAAAGAGAATCCCGATCCGTATCTCATGAGCGCATGTCAGATCCAAAAGAGCATTTCAGCATGAACCACCTCTATAATGGCAGTAGCTTCGTGCTTTATCAGATGTGATTGGCCTTGGGCTGCATGTAGCCCATGATCGCATCGACAGAGAAATGGATTCCCTTGTATGAGGCGCTAATATATGGACCTGTGTGTCTGCAATTCATAATATCCCTGTTGTTGAGCACATGGGGGAATGTAGTGCAACTGCGTCCTTCCTTTTCCATGGCGCTGCGCTGACACCCACACGCATGAGTACGACCCGGAACCCCCCAGATGCGGGTCTCAGCCCGAACTCTATCATTTTGCTGACTGGATGTCAAAGTGCAAATATCACAACGCCGGTGCGATCAAGCGACCATCTGGAGAGCCGGAAGGGTGAAGCCCTAGGAAATTCGCCCAAGAAGTTGCCAGAATGATAGGGAGTACGGAGACTCAGATGAAACAGATCAACTTCTGTCTGGCCCACCGGGAATCTTTCGTTATAAGTTTACACGTGTGTACTCTTTTATGTCAGCGCAGCATACTGCTCACCAGACCACATCAGTTATTGAAAGATGGCGAATCTCCTCCGCTGCCCGACTTCATGTGGGTTCGCCGATCCACGCACTACGATCTGAAAGATGAAGCCGGTAGGAAAGAAGCTCTGAGTATGCTGTGGGCGCTAATCCGTTATATCGCTAGTGGAGAAGCGAAGGTCAATATTGTGCGTGCGGCAATGAAAACGTTGGACTGACCGAGTCACAGACCGGTTGAGCCACGCCAGATTCGGTGTACTGGTGTTGAACTACGGAAAACATAGGAGAACCAGGAGCCGTCTACTTCATGGATCGCACAGTTACCTCATGTACTTAGGAGTTACATGTTTACTTGACGGTTGATTATCCATTTGCATAGTTGTAACATGAGAAACCAGATACCCTCAGCAATGTCCCCAGTAAATGGCGCAATGTTTTCAAGCTTGGAAAGGGTCAACGACCGAGTGACATGTTCTTGGGCTACCATCCCGTTCCTGCATCTAACTTTCGCTCGAGCCTACCCGTGTATGGCCACTCAAAAGGTACCGAAACAGCCTTGTCAATCCCCGGGTGGCTTCGATCCAATTTTCCTTCAAACAAAGATTGTAGCCTGGGGAGACCAAAATCTCGAAATCTTCGAGGCATCCCGTCGATTGGGCCCGCGAGATCAGGTCGGAACTGAACAGCCCGAGAGCAATATAAAGCTCCTGTCCAAAGAAGCCAACAAGATAAACCCTTTGCTCTGGAAAAGTAGGTTCGCGACGAAGTTTCTTTGTGAGTTGGCCCAACATCACTCCGAGAGCGTTCCTCAGTGAATCACCCCATGTCTGTCCTTCAAACCACTGGCAGCAGTTAAGCCATAGCCAGCATAGCATGGACGAATGTTAGGCGCAAATGCATACCCCATTGAATGAAATAATCGGCACTCCTAACCTGTCAATGACGGCGCCTTCCGGTTGGGCGACGTAATCTTCACCTCTGATCTGATACCGCAGTCGGATGTTTTTCATGGGAAACCTAGAAATTCGTTGGGCTTGGGGTTACGCCAAGGCAGAGAGCTCTTGTCACTTACTTGATATCTGTTATCTTATTATTAATGTCTTCAAGACTCTGATATATAGTCTTTATTAAATCACTAAGAATTATGCCCTGCTAGTTCAGGAAATGTATATGCCTTTCTCTCATGGGATCCTTCCAATTTTTTCGCGGTAAACTGATTCTTTCACAATCACTTATCCTCACAGTACTACCCAGCCCCCCTGTGTTATGAGACTCGTGGTTGTCGACGAGTTCCGGCGAAGAGACTTCATCGCGGTAATGTATGAAGCTCCTGAAGAAATTCTTCAACCTTCCCTCACCGGGCCACTCCTCTATGTGACTTTCCTCGACGATTCTCAAATTCCTGAATACCCGAGGTATTAGCTGGTCGACATCCTTATCTTTCAGATGTTAGTGACTATCAACGCTGTTTTATGGCAATTGCGTACCCTCCCTTTCGGCATCTATAACTCTAGGAATCAACTCTTCAAGTTCCACCTCTCTTGAGCGAATGGTTCCCATCGACGGCTGGCAGGTCTTCGGGACCTGGGAGACATGGTCGCAGCAGGCGGTGCCTGTAGCGGGTTCAGTCAGTCGCTCCCCCTCGGACATGCTACTGAGTGGTGAGTTACTTCGCTCGCGGTCATATAGAACAAGCACGAAGAGCTGTATTTATTATGCGCGGACATTCCAGCGAAATCATCGTTCGATAGAGCGTGTCCGTTGGTGTATATATTCTACCTGGCGCCCTTGATTATGTAACGGCCGCAAGGGGCTTCTCCGTCTCTTGGATAGAACTGACGACACTGATGGTGCGATGGAACGAGGATGATTCTCGGCAGGTCAACAAAATTTGGGCGGCGAGAGCATCTTTGTCACTCCTTGACCACCCAGATGTCGTTCTTGGGTAGAAAACAAGGGATCCATTTTCTTGGAACCTCCTAGAGACCTCCAAGGCCATTGGGGTAGAATCTATTGTTGAATTGCCTGCCCAGTAGCATGACAGTCTGACGCTGCTCGGTCAGGCTGGGTGCCCTTCACCATCTTCCTATATGCTGCTCGCTAACTGTGATCCATCTATTGGCACATTCAAGATTTGGGCCGTTCATATCAAGCACGGTATCGGTGTCATTATGACACCAGTTTTGTCGCTACTTTGCGAATAATGACGGCGGATAAATGTAACATCCCGCGATGTTTACCAGGTTCTCCTCTTCCCGACATTCTTCCTTCCGAGCATAGAATTTTGATCTGAATGCATCACGCTCTAACGATCCCCCCGGTATGTCTTCTGCATCCCTAGATATCTTTGGAAAAATTCCCCCCGAGCTACGATTGACCATTTGGGAGTACCTCATCGGTCAGTCTTTCAGTCTGACCACCCTTCTCCGGATATGTCGCGGCATATACGAAGACCTCACACAGTGTCTGTACGACAAGTGGGATGTGTATATCTGCCAATGCTACGGTAGATAGTGGATAGCCCCGACATACCAAACCATATCCTGTCGCCAGCTGAAGATCAGTTGGCGATGGAGGACTGTCTGCAAAGAAGATCCGATTCGATGCGAGAAGCTCCCCTTCCACAAGGCTCAACTCTTCATCCACACCTTCCATCCTGATCCGCAAGAGCGAGGCGGGATAGTCTCGTTGTGGAATAAGCTGTATATGACGGTGCGAATGCTGAACAATCAGTCGGAACATCCCAAAGATATCGTCATCTGCCTGCACCATGGGCGTGGTCTTGACTGACAGATAGATGGCAAGGGTGTCGAGACCATTCCGTATCCAGGCTGTCGCCGCCCCGATCATGACATTGCTTTTCTGGCGATTTGCTAGCTGCGAAATGTCGGGCGCATCAGGGTACAGACCGAGACACGGCAGCTTGACGACACTGCAGATTGGGCACTGATCAGATATGGCTGCCAATTCCTTGAAAATGGCACCTGTGAGTGGCATGAGGACTCGCAAGTCAGCCACCACTCAGAGTATCGCGACTAAGTGTCTCTAATCGACAATAATTCTGCACAGTTCACGGACTTGGAATTCTTTCTCGACACAAGACTGGACACCCTCCCCGGATGGGTGGCTGCGATGCTCCGACGCGACCGGTTCGCTGGCTGGTTTAGCTTTCAGCATTTCCCTATCGAAGCGCCGTACCAACAAAAGTACCTCGAGACTATCCGGAACTGCCCACAGACCGTTTGTACTCATGATCCATACCTGGTGCAAATGCTGCGTCGATACCGAGCCTTTCTGCTCCTGGATCGGACGATTTCACAACCTAGGCTGGTGGCAGGAATACAACAGTTTAGTGAAGCATGGGAGTATTATTACCCGAACGGAATCTTCGTCCTGACCGATGATCAACTAGAAGCAGAAATGGAGCGCCAGAGGACCTCCTAAAACCGGCCCGTATGAACACGCTAGAACCTACTGTGGGTTAAAGGCAGCCATTCATGCAGACCCTAATAAATATCGTATACGGGCTGTGGAATATCAGGTCCTGATCGGGTCGGTAAATGGGTGTACGAAGCGTGGCAGAATGATTTCTTTCCAGGTATATGAAGAACTTCGACCCTTCATCGAGTGAATGAGATTTTTAAGTAACAGACCTGATGATGGTATGAGTGGTTCTATTGACTCGGATCTGTTCAAGACTATTACTGCTGATGAGAGTGGATTCCCAGGGAATTGATCGAGTGATGATATTATTCTTCAATCAAGCCATTCTCCCCTTCATCCCTGACTTAGACGTAGTCCTTCATGTGTGCAAGCACACAAGTACTCAGCCAGCTCATGCCGTTGGCATCTTGAAGGATTCCTCAAGGGGTTCCCGCACTACGCCTGTGGATCAAACTTCTATCCCGCGACGGGAGGCCATGCCCCCTTTTTTCTGCTACGTTGTGAAGACAATGAGATACAAGTAGACTAATGCTTGAGTACAAGGAAAGGAGTGAGTGAGACAAGTCTACAACCAGACCATGGGATCTACATAATAAGATAACGATACAGATCATGACGAACTAGATCAATGATATAATCCCGTGGGGGTCAAATATTAAGTACAGAAGACAGCTGAGAAGTGAAAAAGAACGAATAGCGAGGCTTTACAAAAGAAAAGAAGCAAAGGCACGTCTGTCCACTGTCAAGACAGAGGGGCCATATACAAAAGAGGGTCGTCTACCACGTCAAGATACATGCACCCGCCCATCTAGAAAAAACCAATGGCCACGCAGACGACAGCCAGGAACGAGCTGCTGAACTGTCCCATGCGGCTGGCGGCGGAAGCCGGGTACGAGGTGGAGACAGGGGGAGCGGAGGTCGGCGTGATAGAGGACGAGGCGGAAGGCGAGAGGGTCTTGCTGGTGCCAGAGCCCGAGCCAGGGCCCTGGAGACCACCATGCTCACACTGGGCTTGAGCGCCCTTGCAGGCGGCCATGTTAGCACCGGGGGCAGCGCGGCACTTGTTGAATTCGGCGTCGCAGTCCTTGGGACCCACAGTCGGGACAGGTTGGGCAGTAGTCGAGCTGCCGGAACCACCGCTCTCGCACTCAGCTTGGGCAGCCTTGCAGGCTGCCATGTTGGCGCCGGGCTCGGTGCGACACTTGCTGGCTTCGGCATCGCAGTCCTTGGGACCCGAAGTCGGGCTGGGTCCGACGGCAACCGAGGGGCCGATCCCCTGGTGACTGTGCTCGCAGATGGCTTGGGCGCTCTTGCAGTCGTCCCCGTCGGCATCGGGATTGGCAAGACATTCCTTGAATTTGGTGGTGCAGTCCTCGATGGTCTTGGCGGTGGACGAGGGCAAGGCCACCGGGTCTGCAAAGGCAGTCGGAGCGTCGTCACTGTCGTCGTTGATACACGCCTCGTGTTCGGCGGTGCAGACAGCCAGGTTGGCACCCGGTTTGGTGCGACATTCATTGACTTCCTTTTCGCACTTGGCAGGCGCGTCCCGGTCGTCTCTTTTAGTCGACATTTTCGGACGCTTGCCCTGGTCCGCCTTCTGCAGACAGTCCTGCAGTTTACCGTCACAAACAGCCATCATGGCACCTGGCTTGGTACGACACTTGTTGTCTTCGGTCACACATTCCTTGCACAGGCTGCGCGTGAGTTGGCAGGCGGCCTTGTTGGACCCTGGCTTGGTTACGCAGGCGTTGAAGTCCTCCACGCACTGCGCAGGCTCGTCCTCTCCCTTGATCGAACGCTTGCCGCCCTCGTACTTCTTGCATTCTTGGAATTCCCGCATACAGGTCTGCTTAGGGCGATCTGGCCGAGCGAAGCACACGTCCTGGAGTTGCAGGCAAGAGGCCTGTGAGCCATCAGGGTTGGCCGCGGTGGGCGGCGCGCTGATACCGCCGGCGGTGGCCAAGGCCGTCGAGGCCAGGGCCAGCGAGAGCACAAGCTTGGAGTTGACCATGATTGCGAGCGGGGAGCGGTGATCAAAGAATATGAACAAAAGAGTGGCGTTCACGGTTCGGAAAAGATGGATTGCGGGAAGGGGTGAATGTTGCTTCTGGCTTGCTTCTGGAGTGACATGAGTTTCCTTGGACAGGTTTATATAGATGGCGCTGTCATAAAACGCTCGGAGCCCGTCACGAAGATCTATACCTTTTTGGCTCGGGCCCGACGGCGCCAGCAGTGGACGGTCAGTCGGTGGACGGAAGGATTGCAACCACCGACCTCAGCTGCGGCAGCGGATCGTCCTGGGAGAAACCGGCATTCAGCTGGTGTATAGATCGACGAGACCGGGGCAAGACTCTATTGCGTCTATAACCAACATCCGATGCCTCAAGCCGTCCCTCAGGAAGCTTCTCTTCGTCTCCTCCGGCTACATTCAGTCTTTCTGCTCCACTGCGGTGTGTCAGGCGTCTCTGGCGGAGAGGTCCTGTCAGTAGCCACATGGGTCGGTCCCGGTGCCAGGGCAAGAGCTGATCGAGGAAGCATGCCAGCTGAATGGCGGAGATTAGACCCTGGCGCAGAGCCTACATCCGCCGTGGTTGCGCTGAACGGTGGAGCATCCGGCTGCCATGGGCCCCCGCAAATTGCCAGATTCTGCCAGCGCCGTTGCCGATCATCCACACTGTAGACACACTAATTGGGCGAAGGATCGCGCCGAACCACGAGTTCAGCTGGTCTCTATCTGCGAGAATTACATTGCCAGGGCCTCTCAAATCCCTCCTGGAGGTCACTCCCGGGGAGCGTTCTGTCCAGTCCCTACCTGCCGTATGAACGGATGTTGACCAGTGTCTTAACCTCCGCCAGCACAAACAGATCCATTTGCTAGTTGAACAAGCCAAGCACAATTAATCTCGCAGGATACCTACTTTCCAGGATGGGTCACTCTATCCTCACTCGGGGGGCGTGCCCTATGGATTGGCCTCCAGGCCGTTGGAGAACGTTCATGGCACAATTTCCTGCACCGCCCCGCTTAGGGTGATTACAAGTTCGCGGCAGCCGAGGACTTCATCATCATGCCCGTGATATCACGAGGTGCGTTTCATGGACAATACCGGGAATGGAGGGGGAGGAAGGGCGATAAGGCGTGGGCATCTTCAGAATCCATTAGGATGTGGTCGCAGGGAGTCTGCGCGGGAAATAGGGTGGTTTGGGCGGCGAATGCAGGAAGGACGGTTGTTTTAGAGTGAAAATTGCCCTCGTTCCCCAAGTCACGCGAGCCTAGCATCCCTGTACTTCACTAGGGTGTTAAGTTTCCATTTCGATGAGGCATGTCTTGTGATGCCTCGGGCTGAATGAGCACTGCCCTACGGGATGGTCGAGATAGGACCCAACCAGGTTGATGTTTGTTTGGACGTCCCTGAGACGATTCCCACATCATTCAGGGTGCGCTAACGTCTGTGGAATGTTTATGGCAGGGATCGACAGGGTCTTAGATAAGCGGGCGCTCGAGAAAATTTTGAAGCTATTCCGATCCGCGGCCAAGGACGCCACCAGGAAGCCCAAGCCTTTTGACAGCAGGTAACAGAGATCAAAGCCCAGCGCCACTCGCTTTTCTGTGTATAACGGTGTGGCTCGATGGCTTCCATCGACGTCAGGGATGTTGGGTCTCTAGTCTCCCCATCCAGGGCGCAATACTCTATCCCTGGATGGATATATTTGGGAAGACCGATGGGCACCGAGAGGGGACCGATGAAACCAGTTGTAGCATCGCTGATTCCGATGACCCCCAATAGTATGAAAGTAATGTGAAACGTTGCAGAAAGTGAGGAGTTAGAATACAACATGCGTGAGCAATTCCTGCAGGTCAACTGACATGCTGGCTGATCGCGTGTCTCGGTTTTAAGTAGAACACTCCAACAGTGACAATTTGACAATTTCATCAAAGTATATAAAATTCTTGTAAATTATCTCGAATAACAAAACTCAAGACGATATGACAATCTGTTGAGTAGTTGATTAACCTGGTGACATTGAATCATATGGCGCAATATATATCCTAGTACTTGCAGCGCAGTATTTTATGGAGCTGTCAACAATCATGGAAACCAGACCAACATGTCAACTGGGCGTATAAATGGAGAGTCCAATATTCATTGGGATCCAAATTATCCATATAATTATCACTATGCTATGGATTTGATCAATATCATCAACGGTCATCGTTCTCATCAAGCCAGATCCACAAGCGCAGATGGTAATCTACTGACCCACCGTGGAGATTTCTAAGTATTGCAGAACGCTCTAGACAGTTTGATCAATTTGGAATTTATATCCAGGCATTAGCATCATCATGTCCTGATGTTGTCCTTCCCCTTGGTGGATATATGCCAATATCAGTGACGCGCCAAAGGGTCACGTGACAACACAGGTCTGTTTCGGCTGGCCGACTCCGCGATGGATTTCTGATCGATCCACCATCTGATAGTTGGTATGACTTGGCCGCCAGTTCCATCGATGTTTTGATGTATTCATCGGCCCAGACCGAGACGCCGCATTCGCTATCTCACATCGCTTCCCAGTGACTAGCAGACAGGGAAGAGAGCTGGCGATGCTGGAATACGCGTCTCTTGCCACAGTTTTGACACTCGAGATCCACACATTCCTGCCCCTGACGTACTGTGGGTCGCATATCGATTCAAAATGTAGTCGACCTGACGCGACGAAGATCACCCTGAATTAGGTGTCGACGCCCCCTAGATCCCGTTGATCGACTCCCACAGGTTGATGATCGACGCCTCGTCCAGTAGCGCGTCGATCACGTCGTCGCTCACGTTGATGCCCGCCAGCGGGCTATCCGACCCACATTCCGCCATCGGTATCGTCTCCGACGCCATCGGACCCGGGATAGCCGTCTGTTCCATGTACCCCGGCACGATCTGGCGGATACCCGCGAGAAATACCCCCCGGAAGATCGAAGCGCACGGGTAGGTGTGCTGCATCTGCTCGAGCACCATCATACACAAATCTAGTTTGTTTAGGCCTAGTCGCCGGGAGAGGGGATCCTGCGATTTGCAGTTGAGTAGATGGACGTGCATGGCCGGCACGAGCAAGGGTGGTCTAGAGGTCCTCGGTTAGTTTTGATAACCAAGAGTAAAACAAGACAAGGGGGGACTCACGTCATCGGGCCGGCCAGGTCCAGTAGCTTCTCGCGCACCATGTTGTCTAGGATGGCGTTGGACTGCAGGGCGGCCGAGTCCATCTTCCGTCGCACCTGGCTCAGCCAGCTCTCCTGCTGAGCTACGGGGAGACCGGTGGGCGCTTTGGAAATGAACCGACGGTAGAAAGTGATCAAAAACGCTCTGCGACGGTTAGTCTGACGCTCGCAAGCCCTAGTCTGAGGGGAAAGAAAACGGAAAAAAAAAAAAAAAAAAAAACCAAACTGACTGGTAATGAAGTTGGAGATGGTAGCGGTAAAAGGTCGCGAGGCGGCTTTGGGTTGTCTCTGTGGGACTCCCATCATCGGGCAGGTCGAGACGCATCATATCGGCCTCCAGAGCAGCCACCTGATCCACAGACGGGCTGGGCCCGCAGGGCTGGTAGCAGACGGTCAGGACCTCTCCCAGCAGCTTGCTCATGTGGATCATCTGCACCCAGTACTGGGCTAAGGTAGCCAAATCGTCCGGAATGTACATGGCGGCGATCGCCTCGGGCACTCCCGCTAGGTCGGCGAGCAGGTCTGCGGCGGCCGGCCAGGCCGTGTCGCAGTCGTTGAGGTTGATTCTCAGCGGCCGACCCAAGGTGAGGCTGAGCCACCGGTCGCGAAAGAAGCAGGTCCACCACAGACGGCGCCAAAGACGTACCTGGGGAGGCGGAATGGACGACTTGGACAGTGCCACCACCGAGCAGCGGTGCAGCCCCATGATCTGGCACAGGCTGATGGCGACCCCTGTCCAATACCACGGCTTGGTGTGCATGTCCGTTTGTGAATGGTAGAATCCTAAGAGTAGGGCCGACTGCAGGAGGACGGTGTTGTCGGTCTCCCCGCCGTTGTAGTACAGACACTGTCGCTGTCAGCCTATTACCGTGGAAAGGAAACCGAGGAAGCGATTGCACTTACCGTGGCGCGACTGCAGAAGTCGCTCTTCATCTCCTTTCGCGAATGATACCCCTCCAAACGCCAGGTCTCCTCCTTGAGGAACTATCCATCTCACATTAGTCCGTTCCGAATGGACAAACGACCCTGGGTGCCCGCCACTTACGTTCGTCGCGACAGAGAACATGCTCCAGATCAGCAGTAGGTTCCCCTGGCTCGGCCCTCCGCCTGGGAACGACTGCAACGTCTCCCGGACGTCGAGGACCGGCATGATCGGGTGGACGTGGTGAAAATACGCCCGCAGCAGCTCATAGCACGTGTTAGGCTGGGGAAGGCGGAAGACCCCCTTGTACTGAAGCCACTCCCGATCCTGGTCGGACAGGGAGCCCGAGGTTTTGGATGGCATCAAAATATGCCGGGGCACCGGGAGCTGCGTCGGAGAACATAGGTCCAAGGCCGCCGTGAACCCCGGGGATTCGCCTATTGCGGCGTGTTAGCATCGACGATCATAATTCAAGTCGACCAAATGGGGAATTTATACCCGTATAGAACGGCGCCTGGCCCTGTTGGACGCTCCGACCCAGGACTGTGTTGGCAATTTCCGCCCCCGTCTGCTCCTCATCCGGGTGGAGGCTCTGTTCCGGCGAAGATGTAGGCGGTTGAGGATCTTCTGGTGTGATGAAAGGACCATCCACCGAGGTCGGGGGCGTTGGTTGAGGTCTATTAGTCTGGGCCATGCCAGCCTCCGGCGACAGCGGAGTCGACAGTGGGGATGACGGCGAGGCATGCGGTCGGTACTTAGGTCTGCCCGATGCGTGAGTGGATGATCTGGAGATCGTCGACGAGATTTGTTCTTACGTTGGCATTTTTGCATGAGGAATGATACACTGCGTGCGATCCTGCGTACAGCCGATACAGGGCACTCCGGTCACCGTGAGGCTACAGCGCACCTTGCGCTGCCGACATTTCTGGCACGCGACGGCCGAACGATGGCGACGGCTGG